CAGCCTCTTCTTGCTGTTTTGAGCTGATAATTCAGCCTCGTTCTTTGTGAACGTTGAAGACTGATTGTCCTGGTTGGGCAGAAAGCCCAAAGTGCTGTAAAATGATATTTTGCCTCTTGGGGGGTTTTGCCATGGGCTCTGGGAGGGCAACTCTCCCAGCCTTACACTGACTTACCTTGTGTTTCGGCTGCTCCCCCATGGAAAGGGCGTTGCTGTCCCGTGGGGCTGGGCAGGGGCTTGGCCACCTCCACCCCTCTGCATCCAAGTGCAGTGGGTGAGCTCTGACGGAGATGCAGCATTTGTGCCGTTTGGCCCCAGTGCCTGCTCTGTAACAGCAGCGTGGGCTCTTCCACACCCCAAGCAGCATAATTCCCCACGAGGAGGTGTTTAACATTAGCATTTGGCTATTGAAACTCCACTATCAACCCCCAAACCCCAGCAGCCCCTACCAGTCCGCTGTGCAGAGCCCCCTGAAACATCAACCTTGCAGCTCTCTGCTGTTCCCCTCCAAACCCCCTGACCCTGCTCAGCCCTGCCAGACCCTTCCCCAGCCCCTCACCTCTCGCTCTTGCCTCCCGACAGGTCTCTGCCGGCCCCGCAGTGCCTGCACGGGTTGCACATGGAGACGCGCCTGCATCTCTGCTGCAGCACTGCTCGTCCTCGTGGCCACCGTGGGCTTGGCGGTGGCACTGGGACTCCTGCTGCGGGCACCAGGTTGGTCTCCTGAGGTTCGTTATTTTTTTAATAAGGGTGGCAGAACATGGCGTTGCATGAGAAGAGCCTTTGTGCCCATCACCAGGCGTGAAGTGGTGCTTCCCAGGGCAGAGCAGGAGGAAGGACGGGCACTGACGGGGTGGTGCAGGGCTGTGCCTGCCTTGAGCAGCCCGAGTGGCTGGGAGCTGTCCCTCTGCTCCAGTGTCCTGCTCCATGGGGCTGTGGTAACTCTGATGGCACAGTCGTGCTTCAGTCTACTAGTGTAGTTTTCAGACTCTGCCATGAACCTACCGAGAGTAATCCTGGCTGCTGGCTATCTCCAGAACAACAAATGCGTTTTGGAAATCTGCCTTTCTTCCCTTTGATCTGTTCCTCATAGCATGAAAATGTTGGAAAATAAAGTATTTCTTGCTTCAGTGAACCACTTCTGTGCAGCCTCCAATAACCGGACGGGCTTCTTGTGCGACGACAGAGTGACCTGCATCCCGGCCAGCCAGGTCTGCAACAGAGTCAGCAACTGCAGGCACGGCGAGGATGAGCAGGAGGAACTCTGCGGTGAGTGGGTTTGTTGTGACTGCCCTCCCTGTGCTGGTTTTCCTGTTGTGAGTGAGAGCAGCTGGTGTCCCTCTAATCCTGCTCTGCACTTCTGGGTACGTACGAGAGCAGATAAGCCTGGGAGGTCCTTTGTAGGGCAGATGCAGAGAGGTGGTACTGCCCAAAAACCCAGCAGGAGTGCCAGGAATCAGACTCCACGCTCCCCTGATCTTCCCTTTTTTTTTTTTTTTTTTTTTAACCATGATGCAGTTTTCCTCCATTGGTTAAGCTGCATGTGTACATGGTTAATTTATGGTCCGGTTATCTTGGGGAAAAAATTCATTAAAGCAGAAACTTGGGACACCCAGACCCTGCTTTTGGCTTGGCCACGAACATCCCTTTCCCTCTTTAACCACAACTTCCCCATCTGCAGCATCGTTCATGCCCTGACATCGCATGGGGAAGGACTGACCCCCACCCCGGTGACAGCAGCCTTTGGTAGCTGCTGTCCCCATTTTAGCCGACACATCTGCGCCCGGTGGAGCTGAGCATGTCCTGTGTGTCCGCCCTCGCAGGTGACTTGCCCCGCAGCCTCCCGGGACACCTGGTTTTCCACTGCAGTAACCCTGCGCACTGGGTCTATGCCGATCAGAGGTGTAATGGGCTGAACGACTGCGGAGACTGCTCTGACGAGACGGGGAGCTGTAAGTGTCTCTTCTGGCTGCTGTTGGGCAAAAGGTCTGTTCTGCTGATGGGTTGAAAGAGGGTGCACAGGTGTGGCGCTCACTGATGCGTCTGGAAACGCCTGGGGGCTGGCAGCCGTTGCTACAACGCGATGTAGGTGGGACGGGATGTGAGTAGGAACCATGTGGGCTCCATCCCATGAGCTGCCGAAGGCTCTGTGTCAAAACCTGGTGCCAACCAAGAGGGGAAAGGCTCCGTGCTTTGCTCCCAGCCCCAAAAGTCGCTCGTCCTCTGTGTCTTGCTGAGTGTGGAGCAGTTTCATCATGATGTGTAGCTGTAGGCAGCAGCAATCATTTGAACTGGCCTTCGGGTGTTGGTCAGGAGATGGGTATGTCTCTGAGCTGGGGGGCTCACAAAGCTATCTAGATCCTTCTCTTGCTAAAATGAGCACCAGGTTTGTTCCTAAGTCACTCCTCTGGTTTGGAACCTCAGGTGAGACCTGCCTGTATCAGCAGCTTTCTCTAAATTAGCTTGCTAAAAAAAAATTACAGCTAGTTGTTCCTTCCAGGATGGCATGTCTGCCACGAAGGTCATTGCAATGTCCCACTCCCTGGTTGTCTCTCACAAGTGGCACCAAGTGAGCGTCCTCTCTGGTGGGCTCAGAGACACAGGGTCACCACCAGTGGCTTTTCAGGAGCTGCTGGGGGTGAAAGGGTGTAGCTACCAGTGAAAGAAAGGAGAGAAGGGCTCAGTGCAGCAGAAGCATTTCTGTTCCCTGTTTTCCATCCCTCCCAGTGGCCGCCTGCCCCCCGTGCGGGTCGGAGTGGTGGAGCTGCAGCCCGGTGCTCCATGAGTACTGTTCCTGTGTGCCCAGGAGGCTGTGCCGGGACGGCGTCCAGCACTGCCTCGACTGGTCCGATGAGTATGTCTGCAGACCGTGACATCTCGGCAGCGTCTGACCCAGCAGCGCTGGAGACCGCAGGGTGCTTCCCACGTTGCCGCCTTTCAGCCTGGGTGTCCTCCTGCTCCACCGACTCGGGAAGCCCCAACCCAAGCAAGCCCTCGGTGGCAGCGCTCCGACCGGCAGAAAGTGACACTGAGCAGGGACAGAGCGCTCTGCTTCCAGCCTACGTGCTGCTGGCTAGACACCGGCCGTGGGACCCCTGCACAGGTTCTGCCGTCATGTGAGGGCAAGTCCTTTCTGCACAGGCAGAGCACCGTCATAGAATCACAGAATGGTTTGGGTTGGAAGGGGACTGTAAAGATCATGGAGTTCCACCCCCTGCCATGGGCAGGGACACCTCCCACTAACCCAGGTTGCTCAAAGCCTCATCCAGCCTGGCCTTGAACCCCTCCAGGGATGGAGCATCCACAGCTTCTCTGGGCAACCTGGGACACTGCCTCACCACCCGCACAGGGAAACATTTCTTCCTAAAAATTTCTACGGTCCTGTAGCATGGACTCGACAGCTTGACGGGTTGTCTGTAAGCTGCTGAAGACCATTCCCCAGCTGCTGCTGGCACAGATACCTGTGTCTGGCCAGCCCTGGGCCAGGGGCTTCCCCAGGGTGGACGTGCTGGTGCCTCTGCAGGCAGCCAGGTCAGGGCACACTGAGGTTCACCCTAACGAGCCGGAGCTGAGCGGGATGAGCCTTTCTAGCCCGGGGGTTGGTTTTTCCCTCCAACACATCTTCACGCTTCTCATCCTCACAGGCGGGAGAAAGAAGCATGTTGTGCTCAAAGCGTGTCTGCAGATGGTTTCAACCACAGCTTTGAAGGCTCTGCGTGATGCTTCCCTGGGAACACCGTGCTAGGGTGACACGCTGGGGACCTGCTGCACAGGCCACCCTTGTGCTCTTCTCAAACCGTGAAGGCCACCGGGGAGAGCGTAATGGCAAGGAAGGCTGAAGTGGGTGTCTCAGGGTTTGTGGGGATAAATTGCCATGTCCCTGTGACCACGTAGGTGTCACCGCAGGGCAGGGGCAGGGAACTGGCATGTGTATAAAATGTCCTCTCAGGGCTGGGCAGTTTTGGAGCAGCAGCTCAGCAGGTTAAGAGCAGCTGTGGGGCTGGGATGGGTTTGTGCTGAAGTTGGCAAGGAAAGGAGGAGGAAAAGTCACAGCCTCAGAGCAGAGAGCGGCAGAAAACCAAGTGCTGCAGCTGCTCCCGGGGCCATATGGGGTGACACGGGATCTGTTCATTGCTCATTCCAGTGCTCTGCCAGCAGGGCAGGGTCAGTCAGCCAAACCTTCAGAGCAGTCCTCAGGATATAGATATGGAGCTGCCCCTGAAATTTAAGAAAGGTGTGGTCTTTCTCTGCTCCCTTGAAAATCTCATCTGTATTTGAAATATAGTTTTTTGAGAAAAACCCACATTTACAGTGAGTGCCCTTACTTTTCTAGCCCAAAATCAACATCAGGCAGTATTCTTCCCACCACCATCCCAGGTCACAAATCTTTAAAAATAAAACCCCGTTCACTCATTTCCTCTCCGTCCTGTGATCTGCAACTTGCTGTGTCACCGTGACTTGTATCAGCGGTGAATGTTTCTTCTGATCTGTAGCTGGGATACAGCTGTACACCTGAGAAACCTTTTAAAAATAGCTTTACTGCTTTCTGACTCATCCTTCACCAGGCATGAGCTGGCAAAACTCTGCGTAACAGAACCGGTACTACGGGAAACTTCCAAAGCTGCATTTAATAACCTGTCCTTCTTGGTGCCTGGCGGGGATGGATGGCTTGCTCTCCGTGCCTGTAAAACATCACTGCAGTGCCTTCAGTGCTGCAGCTCGGAGGAGAGGTTAGGAGCTTGCTAGGTAAACATTTCTCACTTGGAAGCTTCCAGCCTCCATCAAAGCCTGAAATCGAGATGCACATTTTTCTTGGAGAGTCACAGCCATCTAACGCTTCAACAGGGCTGAGTTAGAGTTGGTAGATAAAGCCTGGCTTATTGTAGTCGCTGCTGTTCCTCTTGTTAGCCAGAAGTAAGCAAGCAATGAAAAAGTTGTGCAGCGTTGCTCAGGAGGAGCTCAAGGAAGGTTGGGTCAGAGGCAGGGCCACTAGGTCAGCCTCTCCCTCCTGGGGAAAAAGAGCTGCTTTCCGATTCAGATTGGGCTCAGCCACAGACTGTTTGCCTGTTCTTGGCTTTGCAGGGGGAGGATGCACAGCCAGCTCTCTGCATGGGGAGGGGGCAGGTGGGCTATGGCTGCTGCACACTGCTATGGGGCAGCGGTCAAAGAAAGAGGGGAAAGGAGGGAAGGAAGAATCTCATCCCTCGTGGGGGGAACTGTATATGGGTAACAAAACAGCTGTAGCTGGTAAGGACCAAACTAATCAGCTGTTAAAAAAAATACAGCATAGGGCCCAGCTGATATGACTG